CTGTGGTCGGTCGGCTGTTGCTGACTGATCTTAGTGTCCAGCAACTCGAACCGCTGGCTGATGGTGGCCAGCTCTGTGAAGGCACTTATGTCTCCTAGCATTGCCACTACGTGGTCAACGCGTTCCTCCAGTTGGCGGCTAGAGGATGCACTGCTGGAAGCCCCAGCATCTGGTCCTGGTACAGCCTGTTCCAGGTCCAGTACACGGGCATCCAGTGCCCGTGTGGCATCCTCGTGTTGAGTCTTATGGTTCCGCACGGCCCGCTGGAGGTTCGCCAGCTCGGACTGTAGGTGGTTACAAGTATAAACCAACCTGGTCACGAGCTTGGCCATGAACTCCTTATGCTGCTCTTCCGGTGTTGCCTCGTCGCCGTTCGGTTCAAAGTGTCAGTACGCTGTTGACTTCATGCCGCAGCAGCAGATCCTGGGCTTCCTTGCGGCGAGCCTGGGCATCTGCGTCTACTTCGGCCTGTAGCCGCAGCTTCTCTGCTGTTGACGCTTCTTCAGCCTGTAGCTGGGCAACCTTGACTGCCAGCTGGCATTGTTCCTCGGCCTCGATTGCAGCGAGCTGAATCTGAAAACGCTTTTTGTAGTCGGCAATGGACTCGTTGGCCAGTTGGCTTGGCATGCCCAGAGCTGCGCCCGTCATGGTCGCGGGGCACTGCTGGCTGACGTGGCACTACTGACATGGCACTACTGACGTGGCACTGCTGACGTGGCACTGCTGACGTGGCACTGCTGACGTGGCACTGCCGACGTGGCACTGTGTCTGACGTGGCACTGCTGACGTGTCACTGTACCAACCTGGAATGCGTGCAGAGGAGTGGGTGGGGGGAAACGTAGGTAGGAAAACAACCCAACAATACTTGCCCCCGGCCCTAATCAACAGATAAAAAAATAAAAAAATAAAAGAGGACTACTTCCTTTTTTTTTTTCTTTTTTTTTTTGTATATCTGTCGATCTATTATGAGTGAGACATGTCAGAAGAGTATTATGAACGAGATCTAGGCTAGGTTCCGCAAAGTCTCGATCTTTGAAAGAAAAAAAAATGTGCGAAATAGAGTAAAGATGCGATTTTCAGAAAAAACGAATGCAGTTTCTGAGAATATGGCAACCTCTGAATATGCCTACCGAAAGTTGGTAGGCTCCGCAAGATTTCGGTTTTCGAAAATAAAATAAAAATTTGCGAGATAGAATGGAAATTCGATTTTCAGAAAAGAATAATTTCTGTTTCCGAGAATATGACCACTTCTATCGTTATCCCATTATACCTAGAAAACGAAATACAAACTTCAGAAATTTCAGCTATGTATGCGAAATATCAGAGAAACGAAATGCTACTATCGGAATTTTCAGACAAAACGAAATGCGATTCATCAGAGATTTTCAGATATTTGTCACGTGAAAACGAAATACTAATATCAGAAATTTTCAGGTAAAACGAAATGCGAATATCAGAAAAACGAAATGCTACTATCGAGAATTTTCAGACAAAACGAA